CTGTACTAATTTGATACAGTTTTTTCTTTGTTGTTTTCCAAATTTATAATGTTTATGAGGAACTTCCTAACTTTTTAGTTTCTTGGAATGCCTACATTCTTGGTAGTAAATATGACTAAAATAAAATGGTAGAATTTTAAAAGAGGAGTCCAGTGTATTTTGCTCCTCTTATACTACCTTATATTAGAGTCTGCTACATGTAAGAATGGCATTCCTTTTTTTTAAATAAATTTTATTTTTATTTCCCCATACAATTGCAACCCCCTTATTTTGACCCCAATCCCTCCCCTCCCCGCTCCGCACCCCCCATAGAGTGTCTCTGGTTCATAGTTGTTTGTTGATTTTGATTTTCACTTTCTTATATTCATTTTCCTGGTCCCTTATTTAAGTTTTCTAGATTCCTGCTATGAGTGAGACCATCCAGTATTTTTCTTTTTCTTTTTGGCTTATTTCGCTGAGCATGATCCCTTCCAGCACCATCCATGTTGCTGCAAATTGCATGTGTTTATCTTTTTTGATTGCTGAGTAATATTCCATGGTGTATATGTACCACATCTTCTTGATCCAGTCATCTATTTTTGGGCATTTGGGTTGTTTCCAAAGCTTAGCTATTGTAAACAGTGCTGCTATAAACATAGGGGTGCAGGTGCTCTTTAGAACGGCTTTACTTATATTCTTGAAACACATCTTTTTATTTAATTATGGATTATAGGCTACAAGTGATCTGGAACACTATGACAAAACTCGACATGAAGAATTTAAAAAATATGAAATGATGAAGGAACATGAAAGGAGGGAGTATTTGAAAACACTTAATGAAGAAAAGAGAAAAGAAGAAGAATTGAAATTTGAAGAAATGAAGAAAAAACATGAAAATCATCCCAAAGTCAATCATCCAGTAAGAATTATGACTTTATGACTAGTTGAAGACTTTTTCTTTTGTACTAGAGAGTAGAGTTTTGTCATCAAATTATTAGTACTTAAATATTAATTCTTAATTCTGCCATGTTCATCAAACGTATTTAATTTTGGTATATGTATATAAGTGTTATATGTATGTATATTACATTTTGAGTGTTTTTAAAAATTGATTCACAGGGAAGCAAAGACCAACTGAAAGAGGTATGGGAAGAGGCCGATGGTTTGGATCCTAATGACTTTGACCCCAAGACATTTTTCAAATTACATGGTAATAAATTTGATGCAAATATTAATATTTACAACTGCTGTTTGAAAAATTACAGTCTATTCCTGATATCTGACAAAATTGTTTATGTAGTAACATCTATTAAAAGACAGTTTTCTATTGTCCTACTGATAGCAAATTTTTTAAGTTTTTCTGTAGGGTACTAAAGCAGTCTTTATTGCATACTGATCCGCAGGATGAAATATCTTAGGGTCAGTAGCTGTGTCTTTATACCTGTTTTTACTGTTGAGTTATTATGTGATTTTTTGCAAGTTTCTCTGTAAAATGAAGGTATTTCTATGACTCAGTTATATCTTTATGCTATAATATTAAAACTTACTTTTAGTGTCATATATTGCTAGATAGATGAAGCTTTATATTTGGGGGGAAATTAGTCATGGTTTTTTATAGAAACTGTTATGAATTATGCATTGAGTAGTGCATGTTATCAGTTGGACTGAACTGAGACTTCATAAAAAAACATTTTTTTGTAATGCTTCATGTCAGTACTAGTTTTGCAAACCATCTGTAAACATTTGTATTTTTATTTATTGATTTATTTTCTAAGGCATTAAGATAAGTTTTTTCATTTATAATATTTAAACTTTAGATGTCAATAATGATGGCTTCCTGGATGAACAAGAATTAGAAGCCCTGTTTACTAAAGAGGTAACTGAGTTTATCAAGTATTCATTGTTTTTGCTTTCTCTTTTTTCCTTCTGTCATCTTCCTTTCTTTTTATGTTGGTTTTAAAATTTTCTTTTTAGTTGGAAAAAGTATATGACCCCAAAAACGAAGAAGATGATATGGTAGAAATGGAGGAAGAAAGACTTAGAATGAGGGAACATGTAATGAATGAGGTAGGTTTTCAAAGTTTAAGATTACATGTTATATCTATTTTTTTTTCTTTTTTAAAGATTTATTTTATTTATTTATACAAGCACTGGGTACAGTCAGAAGCACGGGAGGGTGAGAGAATTCACCAGAGCCAGAGCGGGGAGCAGAGCAGGCAGAAGGACCGAAGTACACTGCTGAGGGGAGCAGCTGGCGGCAGGAGAGGTCTGCGCGCCATGTGGGACCCTTCTCCGGTGGCCGGGGAACAGCCGGGGATCGAACCGGCGCTGCAGAGGCAGCGGGCAGCTTCGCAACCCAGCGCTCAACCGCTGCGCCACCGGGGAGGCCCCATGTTATATCTATTGATTGTCCAAGTCTCTTACAGTAAATCTTGCCATAAGATGAAAAATAAATACACAGAATAGGTATTTAATTGGATTTTGCATTTTTGATCCATAGTATTTAGTATATTCACTTAGTATAAATAAAACAATTTGTAACTATTTCAAAATATTTTAAAAACTCAAGATGCCCCTGCATATCAGCTCTAAAATATTCTTTAGAAGTCAAGAAATACTGTAGTGCAATATTTGATGTTTTAAATGCTATGTTATTTTTAGTTAAGAAAATTTAAAAAACCCAGTACCTTAATAATTTATAACGATAGATATTTATTTCTTGTTCACATCACTACACTGAAAACTCTGATCTAACTAAGGGTAACTAAAACCTATGTTTTGCTTCAGTGATTTTCACTGATATTTGAGCTGTTAATGATGAATTGGGATCTCTGCTGACTGCTGGAATCCCTGTATCAAATAAATTTCTCTGGCCATTGTAGATGTCACCTTTGTAATTGAATTTGCCTGCATCTACAAGCACCGTTGAAGAGGATTTGGAGAGGTTGTCTACTTTAGTTTTGGCTTAGTTAGTCATCTTTAAGGAAAAATGTTCAGAGGATTTTAACTTAAATTCCTGTACTTTTGACCAAAACAGTTTTTTTTCTGGAAGATTATTTTTCCTGACCAAGCACTTGGCCTCAAGAGGGATTATACATGGTGTGGTAAGGGAGGAGGCAAATACTAGACTAACCAGTCAGATCAGCAAACTGAAACTTTGGGGTATCAGATGTATACATATCTCACTGTATTTTTAAATTGGAATTATATAGATGAGAAAAATATCTATTTTCTGATTCCAGTACAATTGAGTGTTCCATCTCAATTTCTGTGGGTGTTAGGCTAGCTCTTGCTGAATGTCAATGTAGTAGCATCTATTAGAGGATAGTTTCATGAGAAAGAGTTACTTTATTTTACATATTCATTTTCCTTTAATCAGGTTGATGCTAACAAAGACCGACTGGTGACTCTGGATGAGTTTATGAGAGCAACAGAAAAAAAGGAATTCTTAGAGCCAGATAGCTGGGAGGTAATTTGACATCAGTCTGTTCTACCTTTAACTTTTATTTCACATTATGGTTGCATTATTGTCTTGGCTTTTCATATGAAATGCTACTATAAAATAATGTCACTATAAAATAATTGATCTCTTATTTGTAATCACATTGCATATAATTAGAAGTCTGTTAGAAATTGCTCTGTTTCTAAATATAAAATGTTCATTCTTGAAAATTAGAAATATAGATACATTTAGAGAAGTAAATTAGAAGCTACCTATATTTCTACCATACAGAGGCAGATACTTAAATTATGCATTGTGATAAAAAATTTCTTCAGTTAGCCTGCCCCATCCCAGTTTCTGTGGGTTATTTTATTTGCTTTGGTTTGTATTCAACTGGTGCTTTTCCAAAAATCAAATCTTTCCAAAAATGTGCCTTCAGAAGAGTATCATTTTCTTTCCCACATTCTTTGTCCTTTCAACCCAGCTCTCTCCCTTGTAACCAAACTTGTAAGTCCTATTGTAACAGGGTGGTCCCCAGGAAAGGGGGAGGTTCCTGGCCCCCTTTCCTGGGGACCACCCTGTTACAATTCTTTTCTCTTTTGCTGAAATGAGTGCATAAATACCTATTTTCTTGAGTCCCCTTCTTTTTTGCCCCAAAAGTTTAATAAGTTAAATACACTAGATATTCTTTTATACATTGCTTATCATAGAACTTTAAAACTGAATCTGACCTTCCTGTTGTACTTGTAAGATTATTTTTTCTCTTTTTTTTTTTTCCTTTAAGACATTGGATCAGCAGCAGTTATTCACAGAGGAAGAGCTAAAAGAGTATGAAAATCTTATCTCTTTACAAGAAAATGAACTAAAGAAAAAGGCAGATGAGCTTCAGAAACAGAAGGAAGAGCTACAACGTCAGCATGACCAACTTGAAGCTCAGAAACTGGAATATCACCAGGTGGTGTTTTGTAGGATTGTGACGTTAAAAAGGATTTTCGGCTTTTTGTTAAAAGCCTATGTTTTTGAAATAGATTATTTCAATATATTAGAAGCTATAACATTTTAAATTTTACTATTTTAGGACTGCTTTATTGAATATTAGTCTGAATTTTAGAGCTGGAATATCTCATTTTAGAAATCAGTTTTCAATTAGTTTGTTGGGCTTTGTCAAAGGTTATAGATAAGAAAAAATAAAACAAAACTTAGTTTTAAAATGTTCTTTTCCACTCACTAGGTTGTACAGCAGATGGAACAAAAAAAATTACAACAAGAAACTCCTCCAGCAGGGCCAGGTGGAGAACTGAAATTGAAGCCACGTATGTAATTTTGTTTGTTTAAGGAAATAAACAACTGATTAAATTTAAATTTTATTTATTACAAATATAATTTCAAATCGTTATTTGTAGTTACCTGTGTTACTTTCTATATGTCTGTGGAAATAGAGTAACTTGTATCACAGAAAATGAAAAGTACAATTTTTATGTATCAGCACATTTGAAAAGCTATATAATTTGATAGCTATATTCATGATGACATGATTTACTTCAACATTATTCATTATTATTTCTAATCAGTTATTGATATTAAGAAAACATGTTTTTAATTGTAATCTATGATTAGGTAAGTGTAATTAAAAGACAAATATCCAATATATCTACATATAAAAGAAGGTTCAGAATGAAAAAGGTACCTTTAAATTGAAAGCTTTTTTTTTTTTATAGATAATTAAAATTCGAAGCCCATCAGAACTTGGAAGAAAACTGTTACCAACATCTGTTTCATTTTTTTTACCTCCCTTCCTTTTTCTCTGATCAATAAATACTTTAAAGCATATATGGAATAAAGGAAGATACTTTTCAAATGAGAACACATTTTTTGGACACAGATATGTAAGGATTGACGTCTACAAGAACCAGGAAGACAAACTCAATATTTGCTTCCATTTTCACATTTCCTCCCTTTTTTCTTTGTTCACCTTTAGTGATTTAACTAAATGGGCATATGCCATAATTTAATGAAACTATCAGTGAGATGCTATTTAAGTGAGACACCTTCATGACTTTTAAAATCAGTAACTTGCTCTCACTCATAAAAGTAGATTTTCTTTTATGGTCACTTATTATCCCCTCTCTCTGTGAAAGTCTTTGATATTAATAGTTCTCCTAAGAAGATCATAGTATTCCAGTGTTTTTGGTAAACTTTTCTTACTTTCTGCAGCCTTACTTACTAGAAATTCTTTCACTGAACAGCTTTTGCTGCCACTTCATGTCATTTTCCATTTGTAATTCTGTTATTCAAGATCAGGTTCTGCTAAGCATAACAGAAAAACCAAAGATTGCAATGGTTTAAACCACTGTTTAAAGATTTTTTTCCCCCTCTTACATAAAAGAAATCTGGAAGTAGGTGGTGTCCCAGTTCCTGTTTTTATGCCATACTATCCTCAGTTCATGGTTTTTATCCTCAACTTACTTCATTCTCATTGTCCAAGGTTGCCATTTAGACAACATAGGGCAAGAAAAGGAACTTTCCTCCAGTTGAATGAGCTTCCTTAAGGCAGTTTTCCTGGAGAACCATACAGCATTTGAACTTGTACCTCACTAGCCAAAACTAGTGAGAAATTCACCTGGTAATTTACTTAACTAAGGAAGAAAGGGAAGAGGGAGAGTTTGGTGGGCAGCTTTCAATTTTAACCCAAACAGCCATGTTGGCTACTTATATATCCATGTACATTTTTCTGAAACATGGAAAACACTCATTTCCTCTACCACGAAGGAAAACCACCCAAATCTAATCCATTATTATATAAAGCTCTAAGTCCATGTATTGGGGGTTAGTCTTCTCCATCCAGTTAGGATGTGGCTCCCTTTGTTTTGGCCATCTACAAACTAAAAAGTAAGTTGTCAGTCCCATGAGTTGCCAAACACACGCATCATGGTGGGATAGGTGCAGGGGAATGGCAATAAAATCAACCTTTTAGTGAAGGGGAAAATGGGACTCATAGCAGTCACTGATCCACAACAATTTAAAAAAATACTGCTTAGCAAAAATAACCAGGTCTCTCTGCTGTCAATAAATATATTCTTTGGTTTACCCATCAGGCATCCTGTTTCACCTTTCTGGGAGCAGCATCCTGGTCTACTGTCCTCAGAGGCCCTTGGCTTTGCCCTTTAGGAAGTTCTTATTATCTATTAATTTTCAAGGCCATATTGGGGCATGTGAAAGTAAACCCTTCTTGGAGGCTGTGTAGCCATACTACTTCCCTTCCTGTTATTGTGTGAGATTGTTTTAGATAGTTACAGGCTTTTGCAGGCTGGGTTTGGGAATTTAATTTATTTTCATTTCCTTTAGTTCTTTGGCAAACAGTTCCCTGCAAGAGTAATAAGCTGCTGGTCTGTTTTCTTTAATTATTACCAAAGATCTTGTTAAGACAGTTTTTAACATGAATCACATCTTTTATTTGCTGACCTCTGTACTCGGTCTCCTCCCCTTGGGTCTTAACGGAATGGTACCTACTCAGAACTATTTTAAACATAGATTTGGATAGGATGGCAACAGTTTTAATCTGACCTTTTCCCCTAGTGTGACTCCCGTTACTCAAAGGAAGGTGCTTGAAAATGGCCTTAGAGCCTTTAAAACTGTTTGAGTTTGGAGTATGTTGGTAGTTGAAATTTTCACTTCATCAGGGCTCCAGACTTGGGATTTTGTCAATGTTTTGTAGACAAAGAACAATGCCCTCATCAAGTTAAATTCCATTGCATCTCTGCAGACCTCTTGCTCTGAGTCATATCTCTCTTATAAGATTGAAAGAGGCAAGAACCAGACAGCATTCTGCTAGCATTCTAAAGTTCTACCATCACTTTCTCTGATAGCTTTACCTCCTTTGTCAGGAGTCTTATTACCCAAAGCCCTACCTTCTCAACCAAGTTAACTCCATATTTAAGATCATTTTACCTATTGCACCTTATTTGTAGGTACCAAATTCTGTGTATGTCAAGATTATCGGTTTAGGTAAGGGGATCTTCCTAATTGGTTTTTAAACAGAATGAGATTGATGAAGAGATATAGTTAGCTTGCAGAATCTTTGGTAGGGCTAAAGAAACAGAACCTTGTCTGAGCTTCCAGGAGCTATATCAAGAGTGATATGTCAAAGAAGCTGATGCTTTTGGAACAATCAAGAAGCAACCTGGTGGATCAGGAAGTCATCTGCTGGATTAAACAGCTGTGAATAGTTCCCAGCTCCAGAAATACACCAACTCTGCTGTGCTTTGTGTCGGCAAAAAATGGATACCTCATGTTCTGTCGCTCTCTCCTTTGACTCAGTTCTGAACAGAAGTCTCAAGTAAGTGCATCTAACTGATTGGATCAGTCATATCTGGACCCCTAGCTGCAAAGGAAGCTGGGAAATAACAGTGTTTAACTTTTCCATCTCTGCAGTTCAGGAACGCCTGTTAGAGGTTGCTGAGTGAACCAATCCAATGTAACAACTCATAATCTTACATTATTTCCCTTAATACTAATACATCTTAAAAATCTTGGTTCCCATTTCACAAATTTTTAAATAAGCATTGCATATTTCAGATTTTTAACTTTAAATCATGAATCTCCAATTTAAATATAACAATATAGATAAGGTCTGCTTTTATGCAGTATTGGAAAAAAAGCACAAAAATCACTGAAGAGCATATTTTTCTTCAGAAGTAGAGAATTCCTATCTCTGTTTTTTAAGTTGTAAGGAACATTAAAAAATGATCCGGGACATTTCTTTGTTCATGATTCTATCTGTAGCCAGAAACTGTGGTAAAACCGGAATTCTCTCCTTAGTTGGTGGAATGGGGTTAAATTAGGAAATAATTGGGGGAGAATGTAGAGCAAATTCTTAAAATGCTTTTGTTGTGACAGGAGTAAATTAATGAATGGATATTACTGTAGATAGACTTCACAGTTTCTAGCATATTATTTTAATTTATAGTATTTAAAAAAGAATGGTTAGTATTTATAGGTTTAGGGAATTCCAGTTCTTGTTAGTACTGGGCATTTATGAAGAATATGAATCTATGGAGTTGCTAGAAGTGTTCTTTCCACCTCTGTTAGAAAGTATTGGTTCTGTGTTAATTTATATGATTCTTCTTTATACTTATGTAGATATTAAATAGTCTTTGGTTTAGCTAAATTACAGTATGAAATAATTAGAGTTTCACATATAAATTTTCATGAAACATCAATTTCGCAGTATGCTTAGGTATACATAATTAAAATTGTATTTTAAAAGATGATGGCCCTCAAAATATTTAATTCTCACTAAAGAAAACTAAACTAAAATTTAGAAACAATGGTAAAAAGTCCTTTTGAGACATGACTATACTTTGTTTAAAGGAAAGTTTACAACTGTATTATTTTTTATGCGACTTGAACAGATTTGCAATACCATTTAAATGCAAGTTGTTTTTCATGTGATGAAAATGCAAAGAAAATTTTACTGCTTTGAGGTAATGTGATTTTTTTAAAAGATTTATTTATTTATTTATTTATACAAGATTGATTGATTCATTGATTGATTTATACAAGCACTGGGTACAGTCAGAAGCGTGAGAGGGTGAGAGAACTCACCAGAGCCAGAGCGGGTTGCAGAGCAGGCAGAAGGACTGAAATACACTGCGGAGGGGAGCCAGGAGAGGTCTGCGCGCCATGTGGGACCCTCCTCCGGTGGCTGGGGAGCAGCCGGGGATCAAACCGGTGCTGCAGAGGCTGCGGGCAGCTTCGCAACCCAGCGCTCAACCACTGCACCACCAGGGAGGCCCGGTAATGTGATTTTTAAGATAGCCTAGCTAATAAAAGAGAAATCTATTTTCTTTAGGGAGAAATTTTGACAAGCCCTGTTGTGGTTAGCACCTAAAATTTAATCTTTGTTTTATAGCTGTGCAGTACAATCAAGAAGAAAATGAAAAAGGGCCAAATTAGATGATGAGCTTCCTTTTCATGCAAGATTTTTATCCCTTGAAGAGCCTGCTGGAGAAGTCCACCTTCTCTCAACCACTGGTGCCTCATCGTCACACTTTTTAAATTCATTTGTCTTTGTTGGAATCAGGAGACTAAGGAGTATTAAGCAAAATGCAAAGTTTGCTTCTTTGTTCCTTGTGGGTGATATAAAGGCAGCTTGCTTTCAAGGTGTGAGATTTCAAGGAAATCAAATATTTTCCTTTTTTGTAATATCATCAGCAGGATTCCAATATTTCTCTACCTACCTTTAGATTTTTAAAAAATGAATAATTAGCTGTGAATTAGTAACTATTTCTTATCGACTCCAAGAACTGAGCCATAAAAAGCAGCAGCAGCAAGTGGGGAAGACACCAAATTGAAAAATTTATGTTTCTTGTTACCAGCACTGCCAATATTTTTATTGAGACAAAAGCAAAGCAAAACCAAACTAGTGAAACCTTCGATTAAATTTTAGGAATTGAGGTTTTTTTAAAAAATGTTGTCTGTAGCATTATATAGGGAAAAACACATTCCATGTTTATTATCGATCGATGTCTACTATTTCGCTGCAGGGCTTTTTGTTTACATATTAATTGTCAGTCACATTCCTGATGAAACACCATGAGCCTACCTGGGTGTCAGCCAGCCCCAGACAGCACATTTTTCCTTACATGTGCACCTTCTAGTTGCCTTCCAATCTCTGCATACCTGTACACTAGTGTATTGTTTATAATTTGATATTCTATTTTGCTGTGTAAATTTTCTTACCTCCTTCTGTTTTATCCTTAGTAATAAGTATAGGAAAATCCCAAGACTTTCGTAGATTATGAACATAGAGCTCATTGTTTAAATATTAAAGTCTATTATGTTACAATTCTTGTAATTGTGCCATTCCCTGGAATTTAAAAATGAATGATTGTTTTGCCACCTGATTTTAAAGTTAAAACTCATCGGAGAACTTTGAAAGTAAGAGAGAAAAAAATTCAGTCCCATCTAGTTCTTTTTGCTGTCTCCTATGAATTGTATTAGAATGTTACTTTTGTTCAATTTTAGTCCATTTTATTATTTTTTTAAGATTTATTTTATTTTATTATGCATACAAGAACAGGGGTGTAGGCGAGAGCTGCAGGGGGTGAGAGGATTCACCAGAGGATTCTGCAGAACACACAGATCTACTGAGATACACTGCTGAGGGAGCAGGGGGTGAGACAGGAGAGGTCTACTGAGTCATGTGGGTCAGCTCCCTGGCTAGGGATTGAACTCATGCCACAGTGGCTGGCAGGGGCTGGCGATAGCTTGATAGTGATGAGATTTTAACCCCCGCGCCACCAGGGAGGCCCTTTAGTCCATTTTAAATGTTTATTTTTAGTAATATGAGACTGTTTGTTATTTAAGTGAATCCCTACCCTCACTTTAGATTCCCTAGGTAATAGAGTGTGAAGAAATGAAAGGCCACGCCATCCTGTATTTGTACAGTGTTGCTTTATCTATTTTGCTGTCCACTATCACCTTCAGTTGTTCAAGCAATTTGAGTTTGCTTTTCTTTTTGCACTTTATCCTTTCTGTTCATGGTGTTGCTACTTCATAAATATTTCCTTATTTGAGTAGTGATTATTTCCTTTTTCAAGGAAATTATTATTATTAAAGGGAATTATTTCTTTTTAAAAACATGTTGGGGAGAAGGGAGAGAGGGATATTGGGGTGATGTGATAGTGTAGTGGTGCTCCAGCTTTGGTGGAGGGTGAGTGAAGCAAATGCATGTTGAAGTGTGACGTTCTACTCCCCAATGATACAGTTATGCGAACAATATAGCAACTCAATGGCAAGAATGCAAATTAACAGAATTCGATTAAACAAAAGCATTAATCGCCATGCTTCTTAATGTTTTAAACACTTTCATGGTAGTGTCAAAACATGTTTGTCAAACACAGCAGCTTAAAACTCCAACCCCCTTTATGTAGTAATTCCTTCTCATTCTATAGCACTAAGTAATGGATCTTAGAATTTGTCTCTTAATTTTTTTTTTCCGGCTATGTCTCAGTTCTAGCCCTGTATACATTTCTTGTTTCCTTTGATGAGTAAGTGTTTTTACTCTCTGACATTCACAGTATGTTTCATTGAGATTCAAGGTTGATCTTGGAAAATGAAAACCATATTGAAGAAAAGTCAGTTTTTCTAGAGCTTCTTAGGCAAGCAGCTCATCATGCCTAGAGTGGTTTCTGAGTGCTTTTAACTCTGAAAAAATTCCTAATTCAGTAGACACTGTGTCTGACTCTGCCTTTGAGAGAGTGAACCAGCCGGGATGTGGAGCATCAGCCCTGGATGAATGTCCTTGTTCAATTCCTTAGCTTCTTGGTAACTTCCTTAAATAATACCAGTCTAAAAATTTTTTTGTGCATCCCAGCAGATATTTTTTTTAATCATACAGTTATTAATAAAGCAAAAAATCCCACAAAAAACCGGCAAACCAATTCAGGGTGGGAGAAGGGCGGGTGGGAGAAAGGCGGGTGGGGAGAATGAAAGACCAGGAAATGATTTAAGTTATCTCTCCCTCTGACTAGAAGAGAATTAGCATCATTTATTGTTTCTTTACTACTTTTGCCTGGAGGATGTGAGTTTTAAGTTCTTTCCCATTTTCCTACTTTTTTAAAAAATGGACTTTTCCACTACTGTTTTCTTAATGTACCTCCCTTCTCACTGGAGAAGGCCTAGAAGGATGAGAATGATGTGACACCATTGTCAGCCATAGCCAGCGGCTTCATGGGGCTTATTATCAGGACTTTCAAAATTAATTCTATCCTTCCCTCAAAATCCCAAACTTTTCTCTAAGGCAGTCTGTGGTGTTACTAATTACTTAGTAATTACTAAGGTGAATTTATTAAAACAGGATTATTTTTCCAAAGGTTTATAGAAAAGATAAAGTAGAAGCTAAATATTTTAAGGCCCAGATTTTGAACCCAGTTAATACTCAGAGTGACGGTTTCATTCTTTTGTGAGAGCCCTGGTGACTTCCAGATAATTCTATGTGTACCTCTCTATCCACTTTTAGGGCCTAAAAAATGAAAGACCCCTGCAGGTGAGGTACTGCAGCCAGGAGTCCCTTTTCATCCAAGGTTTTTCTTTCTCTGAAATTGTTCATCTATGGTCTGTTTGCACATATGAAATTCATAAGCTCTTGCAGCTTTCCAAAATATCTATGTACCAATTTATATAGCCTCAAACTGAAAGATCATATTTTTGGAAGGACTATGTGATTTATATGTAAACTTGTGACTAAAATAGGACTCAAGGCACAACCATTAGTTATTCCACGTCTCTGAAAAAATTGTCTTCTGGAATTAAAACATGGAAAAAATTTTTTTCATTATTGTTTTTCTTTGTCATAAAGAAAACCAGTGCTATATGATCCATATTTTATCAATATTTATTATGTTTTAAAAACCATTTAATAGTGATGATTTATACATTCTATTTTAAAGTCAGAGTTTTAAAGAACCTTTATTTTGTTAATACTATTTGGGAGGATTTTGAAAGTTTTTCAGTTTAAATGTTGAATTAAAAATGTAACCTTTTATAAAATGTGACCCAAAAAGCTCTGTTAATTTTAAACTCCGGGAAGAAATTTTATTAGTCTAATATACACTTAGATTCAATTCTTCTTGGCTTATTTATAGATATTTGAGGTAATTGTGAAATCACATAAATAATTGGATTTTGATTCGATAATCAGGAAGACACAGAGACTTTTTACAAGTTTTGAATGTTTTTTTGACAATATGTTGTAAAAAAATTCCCAGTGCAATATTTGTTGGAGAATATTATTCTACTCCTCATTTGTATAGTTCACTTTTAATGATATTAAATCTAAAAATCAGAAAAAAAAATTGTTGTAATTTTCTGGGGAAAAAGACAAATATGACAATTCTGAATGAATGGATTGTTTGAAGAACACTAATGTTCTAGAATCTTACAACCTGTGGGTCTTAAAGATCATTTACCAATGAAGGAATCCTTCTCCAGCATTTCCTAATAGACTTTTTATGCAGTCCCTTCTTCTAGTGATAACATTAAAGTAGAAATCACAGTGGTTTCCAGGCTTGTCTACATATTGGAATCACCTAACAACTTCAAAAAAATACTGAAACCTGGGTCCCATCTCCAGAGATTGTGATTTCATTCTTATGGAGTTTGGTCTGGGCTTTAGAAATTTAAAAGATTTCTAGGTTATTCTAATGTGAAGACTAGTTTGAAGAATGCTGCTAGTAAATCATGTGGAAAACACATCAACCTTTTTCAATATTGTGCTGGGGAGGGAAACTTACTGATGTTCTAAAAGTTCTGTAAGCATTTTGATGGCACCTCCAGCAAAAGCCAGAGCTCTGGCCACTGGACAGCAGCAGGGGCAAAGTTGCAAAGCTTTGGCATAAGAAACTCAGGTCCAAATCTGGGGCCTACCAATTATTAGCTGTGAGATCTTAGCAAGCTAATACCACTTTTGATGCTGTTTCCTCATGTGCAAACAGCACCAACACAGGACCACAGGGAAATGAGACACTTCCTTCCCCTTCCCTCGGCTCCTAGAGGATAGCCTAGCTTGGACTGCTTTGTCTGCTTTCACAAGATGCCAGTGCTGCTGTCTCAGAAGAAGAAATCAGAAACAAAATTCTCATTGAAATCACTCCTGTGCTAAGTGGAGTTCAGAGGCACTTCCTTGTCTAATTTAGAGGCCAGTGCCTTAAAAAAGGGTGCGCCCAGATGGAGGGAGCACTATCAGTAGGCAGGAACATCCAAATCAATAAAGTCTTGGATGACCTGCTCCCTCCATGCATGTAATGTTACAGCTTCTCCCTGAGGGAATCTCTCTGAACCAAAGCCTAAGACTAGTAGCCCTGATTTTTTTGAACCAAGTAGGTCTTCTCTGTGGCCAGCAGGTGGCACTGAGTCCTCAGTCTTGCTTGTTTACTGTCACCAGCTGCCTAAAGTGCATAAAGGGACGGAGAGAAGGAAGGTTGACTCTGTAAGGCTATTTGAGATGCTGCCAAGGGGCTTCTCATTAATAAGTCTGCTTTAAAAGGATAGACACTACCTTGGCCTAAAGGAAAGCCATGCTGGGTCCCATCAATTGCCCCCAGAACTCTGGGCTGCTTATCTCTTTTTCCTCTAAACCAGAAGTAGGTCAGCTCAATAAGGAAGAGAACAACAGCAGTAACCCTGGGTTGTCCCATACAACATTCATTCATTCATTCATCCATTCATTCATCCATCCAGCCATCCATCCATTCATTCATTCAGCACTTGGTGCCAGGCACATGTGAATCGACACAGCCTCCGACTATAAGGAGCCATGGACTTGGGAGACAGACCCAGGAACATAGGCAAAAGTAGAATACCCACAAACAGAGTAATGGAGGGACCGTTTCTTTCCAGAGGAATCAGGGAAGACTTCAAGGAGGCATCATTTAGCCTGGACTTAAATGGATTTCAACAAAGATGAGGTCTGGGCAGTCCAGGCAAAGGGAATAACATAAGCAAAAGCCTGGAGGCAGAAAGGTCAATGATATATGTAATGAGGGGATAGTGAGGCAGCCAGGGGTATGGTGAATGCAGGTGCGCTGGCAAGAGAACAATGATGTCAAAGACTGGAAAGTGAGCAAAGCCTGAAATGGCTGGCTGTGGGGTTTAATTTCAACTGGTGGTGATGGAAACAACTGAAGGCAATTGACATGGGGGGAATGACTACCATCTTATTGGGGGAGGCAGGGAGGATGGTTCCATGGCAGATGGACTTCGGTGGGGGGAGAGATGGAGACAAGAAGACCAGATAACATGTTGCCACAGCCCCTGTCGTCAGGATCTGAGCTGGGAGGGAGAACTGGGTAGGAAACATGACCAGGCAAAGAAAGTCATCACTGGGAAAATACAACAGCACCTTCTCTCATATCATTCACTTGATCAGTTGTCTCATCATGTCTGATTGAGCAGCAATCACAATAGTTAATATTTATTGAACACTTATTATGTACCAGGCACTTAAGCATTTTACATGTTTTTCAGGTACTCCCACAACAACTTTATGAGGTAGGTACTATGAGTATCCCCATTTTATAGATGAGGCAACTGAGGCACAGAGAGGTTGTTACTTAACCAAGACCTTAGAGCTACAGCCAGGATTTGAACTCAGACAGGTGGCTTGAGAGCTTACATGCTGCCAATACACATATGCACAGGGCTTCCCCATCTCTCGCCCTCAGCATCCCAGCCTTCCAGCAGATCCCTGGGAATGAAGGTAAGCCTGGTGGGTGTCCAAAGAGTGAGACAGCCAGAGAGACTGGCAGGGCTGGGCTACCTGACACAGAAGGGGAAATTCTTCCTGTATTGGGGGAAGAGGACCAACCCCAGGTTCCTTTCCTGGCCCCTCTGCTAGGGTCTAGGGCACCTTTGCATCCCTGCTCTCTGTCCACCAGCGCCCTCCCTGCCTCCCCCAGGAAGAACAGCCCAGAGTTTAGGTCACGAAGGGGCTTTATTGACAACAGAGAAGGCAGAATTCTGGGCAAGTACACATAGCACTGCTCTAAGAGTCCAGGCCTGGAGTCGTCCATCAGGGCGAAGGGCCTCTAGCTCAGGAACCTCAGTCACCCCCACCTGAGTTTTCCAACATCCTTTCTAGCAACCCAATGACCCTCCATGGCTACCCTCTGGACAAAGTGAGTGGCAGCCACTGGTGAGGAGGTGTGATGGGCCCAGGATGCCCTCTCCTCGGCCTCTTTCTGCTTGGCATGCCAGTGCCTGCCCCAGCCTCCCAGGGCAGTGGACAGCATGGAAGAGGCAGTCACGGCAGCCGCAGCCCACAGAGCCCTCACCATAGAAGCCTTGGCATTGGGGTAAGTGTCAGGGGCCTGACACAGGGCCCATCCCCTCTTTCCTGTGGTTGAGCAATGCTCAGCCAAGCCAAGTCTCCTCACACCATTTCCTCATGGCCTGAGTCTGCCCTTCAGAGGGTAGCCCTGCCAGCCTCAGCTTGCTCCTGTCTTTGTAGGTGCCACACTTTCAATTTTCCAGCTGAAATGTGCGCCCTCACTGACGGCCCTCCCCAGCTGGCTGGACAACCATTTAGCCCATCACTTTTTCAGAGACTGAGGTGGTCAGGGGCTGACCATAGGCATCTCTTCAGGCCACAGAAACATAGCAGCAAGCCATCAATGTGGGGACTGTTCTTCCCCAGTCACCTGCCCAGCCATGGCCAGTTGAGCACAGAGGCCCAGGACTAGCTGAAGACCCAGCTTTAGAGCTGGACAACTTCCTCTAGCCTGGGACAGCAGGAGAGGGATGAGCTAGTTTTGCTAGGGCTGGGAGGAGCAGGGACAAAAATAACCCAGAACAGGCTCCTGTTGAGGCCAGAAATAGCGTAGTGACAAGTGCCTTGTAACACCCTGGGTGAGCAGTAGTGGGGGAGACTGAGCTGAGGAGGCCCAGCCTCACACCAGGGCCTGGCCTGGCTAAGGGGCCCACAGCAGGTCCACTCTACATACCATGCCACACTGACTGTGTGCATACATGCAGAGGACGGGGGTAAGGGGCTGTGGCTCAGGATAGGGAGTCTGGAGAGATGCTAAACTTGGGCCTGGCTTTGGCTACAGCCACGCTGCGCTTGCGCAGGGGCCCACGGGCCGAAGCCAGGGTCAGGGCATCCAGCAGGCTGCGGTCCTCATCAAGTTGGCGGGCGGTGCAGAGTGGTGTGGGCACTTTGACGGTGTTGCCAAACTTGGAGTAGTCCACCGAGTAGCGGCCATCCTCCTCGGCCACAATGGGTACAAAGCGCTGGCCCCACAGGATCTCATCCGCCAGGTAGGAGGTGCGGGCTTGGGTGGTGATGCCCGTGGTTTCCACCACGCCTTCCAGGATGACGATGATCTCCAGATCCTGATGATGGTGCAGGTCGCTGGGTGCCAGGTCGTAGAGCGGGCTGTTGGAGTCAATAACGTGGTAGATGATCAGGGGTGCCACCAGGAAGATGCTGTTGCCACCCACGCCATTCTCCATGGGGATGTCCACCTGGTGGAGGGGCACCACCTCGCCCTCAGGGCTGGTGGTCTTGCGCACCACCTGCATGTGGATGGTGGCGCTGATGATCATGCTTTTGCGGAGGTCTCCCACCCGGAGCATAAAGCAGAGGCGGCCTTGGCGCAAGGCGATGACTGCGTGCTTGCTGAAGATGAGGGTCTCTGCCCGCCGGTGGGCCTGCGCAGTCTTCATGAAGATGCAGCCCAGCATGATGGCATTGATCATGAGTCCCACGATGTTCTGCACAATGAGGATGAGGATGGCCAGCGGACACTCCTCAGTCACCATGCGCCCCCCAAAACCAATAGTCACCTGGACCTCAATGGAGAAAAGGAAGGCAGATGAAAAAGAGTGGATGTTGGTGACGCAGGCCACCTCCGTGCTCTCATGGGAGGCCAGGTCTCCGTGGGCGAAGGCGATGAGCCACCAGACCATGGCGAAGAGCAGCCAGCTGCACAGGAAGGACATGGTGAAGATGAGCAGCGTGTGAGGCCACTTGAGGTCCACCAGCGTGGTGAACACGTCCTGCAGGAAGCGGCCCTGCTCGCGGATGTTCTTGTGCGCAACGTTGCAGTTCCCGTTCTTGGACACAAAGCGGGCCCTCCGCTCGCGGGCGCGATACCGGGGTTCGGCAGGGTCCTCTGCCAGCCGCGTTAGCACATACTCCTCGGGAATGATGCCCTTTCGGGACAGCATGGCTCCAGCCACCAGCAGGGAGAGGCTTCCCCCATGTGGGGGGGCACTCCTGCCTGAACCGAGGGACTCGCTGTGGGGTGCCTCCCTGGACACCCTTCAACGCTGGTACCACCCTCAGTCTGTGCTGGTCTCACTTCTCAGATGCCTCCCCAAGCATCCTCACCTCCCCACCTGGCCCCTGCTTCAGATCTTTATACCAGCCTCACACCTGGGCCCACCTGCCCATGCCTAGTGCGCGTTCCTTCCCACCCTGCCTGCTGCCCTCCTGACCCTGGACCCCAGCTCAAGTCTCTTCACTCCTGAGCACTCTGGGCTCAGGATAAAGATCCTTTATCCCCACCCAGCCTCCTTCTCAACCCACCTCTCGCATCTAGGAAGGTCACACCTCTGGATCTTACCAACTGGCCAGACCTCACACAACCCCCGCCTCACCCATTTCTGGTCCCGGACAGCCTTCAAGCTCCAGTTTCGGACTCTGACCGCCCCTTGTCTCCTCTCCAAGTGTGCCCCCCTCTCCTACCCCACGCCCCTGGCAGCGCTCTGGCAGCTCCTCGGCTCCCCCTCAGCTCGGGTGCTCTGTGTCTCCCGGGTACTCTGCGCCCTCCAGTCACTCGCTGCCCCACCCGGCTCCACTCCGGACCCCTCTCCCCGGCGCGACCCGGCCGCTCACTCCAGGGGCGGCCTCCCGGCTCCCAGCCGGCCGCACGCTCGCCCGCGCCCGACCCCGCCCGCGCGTCCCCGGGGCACCTGCTCCTGCTCCTCAAGCCGCAGCCGGCGCCTCCCCGCCCCCTCCTGCTGCCGGGCGGTGCTTCGGCCAGTGCATCCGACTGTTGGTCAGCGGAGACCGACTGGGGCTAGGTGGGGGTGGAGGGCTGAGGGCGCGGGCGGGGGTGCAGGAGTGGGGTGCGAGCCGGGGCCACCAGAGGGAGCCCGACCCGTTCCCGAGCAGGAGGCGGGGCGGGCCCAGCCGCAAGCCCCGCCCGTCGCCTTTCGCCTCCCTGCTCTGCTGCTCGGGACTCGCAGTCTGGCCTTGGGGGGTTGCTCAACCGATGGACAGAAAGAGCTTCTTCCCGCCCACGTTCTTTGAAACTGGGGTGGGGAGTGGAGGGAATCGTGACTCGCCCTTCCAGACTGGGGATCGTCTCCCCTTTCTTCCCCTCCCCCAACCCCCCATCATCTACCATCCTCACTTAGGTGGATGCCCGCCTCTCTGCAGCGCTGGGCTTTGCAGGTACCAGGGAAAGGAGACATGAGGGGCTGCGCCACCAGCCCGGTGACGGGGAGTAGGTGGCTGGAGGATTTCTCAGCCTCCCTTCCTCTTTGGGAAAGCTCTTAATCTTTTCTGAGTCATGGGTCCTTTGAGAACCTGATGAAAGCCACGATTTCCTCCCGAGGGGACAGTACATTAGTAGGTGTGGGAATGCTAACACCCACTCTGGGGTAATGGACACAGCAACCTGGGCGGCTGAATCTTCTCAGTCATGACGCTGTCCCCTCCAACCTCATCCCCACATTTTAAAGATAGTTTGAGCTACTGGCTCTTGCTTTAGTCCTCTGGATTTCTTCTACCTTATGTAATGGGAGGCACCTGGATCTGATGGCTGTATTCCGGCAGGCATGGGCACTCGGGGAGCCTAAACTCTTGACCTCCAACTTGAGTGGTGTTTCTAATTCAACTGTCAACCTAAGGTTGCCCTGGGGCTCCCCAGTGCTCAGCTGGGAGAGTAAACATGCTAGGTCTCTGTTGTTGGGGTAGTCGTGGCTCCAACCCCGCTCTGGTGCTCAGACCCTTTGGAGAAACCTCTGAGTCCTGTGTGTCCATTGGTTGGAGCTGGGGCTTGAGGCAGGGGCTGGAAAGATAAGGACAGGGGGATGTGGGCCACAATAGGGCAGGGGATGACCTTCATATTGAGTTTTCTCCTTTCTCTCCCATACTATCTGCAGGCAGAGTGAACACGGCTACTCAGGGTAAGCGTGATCTTGGGTCATATTAACAGAGGTGTAGTTCCTAGGGAAGGGAGGGAGAACAGGATGAGCAAAGTGGGGAGCTCATGGAAACAGAATTACATAGGAAACTTGAGAAGTAACTGCAGCTGTTCAGTCATCAGAAAAGAAGTCTTGAGGGCCCAGGAATTTGGGGCACTATTGCAGAAAGCCTTGGGATCAAAGGAAGATGGATTAGTTTTGTGTAGCCCAATGTGTAGATCCTGGACACTGAGTGGGACAGAGGCAGACTTTGATCTCACATATGTAAAACTCAATTCTAATAACCAGAGATGACCCACATCCAAGGGGGCAACCAAGTTGAAGTTGGCAGACCATCAGGGATGCTTTGGAGGGTTTGGACTTGGATGACCCTGCCCTGCTCCTGCTCCTACCCTTCAGTCCCTTAGAAAGTGGTAGGCATGAAGGGATGGGAATCCCTTTTTCCTTCCCAGGCTCAGCTCCTGGGTCCCCAGAGGCATCTCAGCTGGAAAGCCTAGACCCTGCTCTCATTGTGGTCTTGAGTCTCAGCTATTCACGACTCTACCCTTTCCAGAACGAGTCTCTATCCAAAGAACTCAACTTCCTGCTCTCTTCCCTCCTGCACCACCTCATCTCCCCTGAACCTTGCACTTTTCAAGTCCCTTTCTCACTGGAAAAACTCTTCACTTTCCTTTTGGTCATAGGCTTGTCCCAAGCTCCTCATCCTGGCATTCAAAGATCCCTAGTCTCATGCCCTCCTCCTCCTGTCCCCCATGGGCCCTCTTCTTCTAGCCCTGCCTATCCAATTCCTATCCAATTCCTATTCCTTGCTCAACTCAAGTCCTGCTTCTCTTAGACAGCCTGCTAGGCCTCTCTCTTCTTGAGCTCCTCTGCTCTGGAGCATCCAGAAGGGTATGTGCTGGGGCTCTCTTCAATGACTGGTGGGTTTTCCCTACAATGTACGGTTCTGACCCCCTCACAATCAAGCAAGACTCCTGGTCTGCATCCCAGAGCTTGGAACTGTAGGCAACATGTCAATGATAATGAAACAATACGTAAGTGAGCTCGTGCCAAGCATTTCTTGGCTGAGGCAGATGGAGCCCAAGGACAGCTGTTTCAGTCTCCCCAGTGTCCAGGCTCCGGCATGTCCCAGCCACTACCTGCTTGACTTGTGGTATATGCGTTGTGCTTTCCCTCAGAAGGACCACCCTTCTCCCACTTCTGAATTCCCCACTTGGAGGGTGGAGCTGGAACATGTCATTCAGGTCTAGCTAGTCAATATATTCGAGTCCACCAACCAGGGATTAGCTGGATTGGGGATGTCACGCAAGCTGGTCCATTGAGATTTATTCCCAATATTTTTGCTGGAATTATTGGGAAAGAGCATCTTTTTCCCCCCAGAGGAATAGGATACAAACTGGAGGTGCTAGTGGCCACTTCTCATCCTGTCACTGGGGAGGGAGAGGAAGAGGAAACCCAGAAATGGAGATACCTCCTGATGTCAAACACCTGCATCCAGGCTTGCAGTAAGGTAGCTCCTGATCTTCTCAGTCATATGTGACAAACTCCAACTTTTGTGTAAGCCACTATGAGTTGGGTCCTGTCATTTGTAATGGAAATAGTGTTAATCCAGGATATCTAAGGTCCCACAATTCTAGTCCAAGAATTACAGTGAGAAGAAAGGGGGCCAAGTTCTATGCAGATCTGCTGTCTGATCTGATGATATAATTATAAAGCTGCTGTAACTTGGGTACGCACTGAATTCATATATGTTGAAGACATAAATCATGTGCTGAGAACCTCTGCCCCCAACAATGAGATGATAGTTGGAGATAAACCTCATGAAAAGGCACTTAGGTTAAATGAGGTGACAGGAGTGGGGCCCTAATCCAATGTGCCTGGTATCCTGATAAAGAAGAGACACCAGGGATATATGCGCACATAGGAAAGGCCACATGAGGACACAGCTGCAGGCAGCTGTCTGCAACCAAGGAGAATGGCCTTAGGAGAAACCAAGCCTCTAACATCCTGATCTTGGATTTTCAGCCTCCAGAACTGTCAGAAATAAATTTCTGTTGGTTAAGTCACCCAGTCTGTGATGCGTTATTATGGCAGCCTAGGGGACTAACACACCCCTGCTCCTCAGATGAGGACGCATACTGCCCACGCTCACATGACTTGGTCAGGTCTGCCTGATGCCCAGGTCAGGCTTTCCCCACAGAACCCACAGTCCACCCTGCCCTGACCCCTGGACTCCAGGCCTCTGATAGGAAATAATCAATCTCTTTATTTACAAGTGATTTACAGTTAGAAAACCCAGGTGGGGGGTGGGGGTGGGTGGGACATGGGCTGGCACTTGGGCGCTTGGCAGGTCACTTGTCTGCACGAACGAAGGAGGCGAAGACGCTGTCCTTGCGGCTGAGCAGCTTCTCTGGCTTGTCAAACTCCAGGATGGCACCGCGCTTCAGGACAATCACCAGGTCGGCACTGAGGATGGTGTGCACGCGGTGCTGGGGGTGCAGGAGGGGCCCGTTCAGGGAGGTGGGGGAAGAAGCGGGCAGCTGAAAGCACCCCTACTGAAACTGGAGGAGGGGCATGTGGCCAAAACATCCTGTCTCTGGGAAGGGGACTGACCTCTCCTGGGGTGGGTGTGACTCCAAGACTTCTAGCCACTAATGTCACCCTCTATCCTCAACAAATCCCAGCCCTGCCCTCACCTCCAGGCTTCAGGACTCAGAGAGCCTCCCATGCTCCCTATCCCCTACTTCCTAAGGAGGAACACCCTTATCCTAGCTCAGGAGACTTTGGGACAGGGCAGACCATGGAAACTGAAGAATGAGAGGAGAGGTCTAAGGTGTAGATACAAAGCCCCCAGGTCCCAAATCCTGCAATCTAGGATCCCCGCAAGCCCTCCAGACCCCTTGCCCTGTACTGCTCCAGGGTCCTCTCTTGATAACCCAGACCAGGTGAGCTCAGGAGCTGGAAGTAATGACAGCTTCAGGAGCCAGACTGCTCTCCGGTTGTCCGCCCCCCCAACCCACTCACGGGCCCCTTACCGCGATGGTAACCACAGTGCGGTCTGCGAAGGCCGTCATCACCACCTTCTGGAGGATGTTCTCCTGCCAGGTTGGAGCATCAGCTATTGGTTCACCTGCCCAGTGGATGGGGTCTGGCCTTGCTTCAGGGGTCAGGCCCAGGTTTGGGGTACAGCTCCCATGTGACCCCAACCCTAACCCCCTCCC